CCGGGGGGCCAAATAAAACGAAATTCGTGCACCACTGTGGTTACCTTGTATGAGACCGGCTCCCGATCAGTACCCGAGAATGGAAGAAGAAGACCAATGCTCCTCATATCAGTTTTGTCTCCGATCGTGACAAGACGTTAATTTGGAAAGATGTCTTGGTACATTTCACGCTCCAAACAGATGGTTATGATGATATTATTGATGGTGATGAATTGAAGGAGCGAGTTAGGGATTGGGCAATGAAGAAGATGGCCACCTAGTTTCAGACTTGGAAGAAACACCTATACACGACGTATGTCAAGAAGAACATAGCACCAGATTTTACTGTCCTAGGCCCGATCTCAAAGCAGAGGCCCTATTGGGATGAGTTTGTACAGTACAAGACATCAGAAGAGGGTGCGAGTCGGGTGATAAAGAACTAACGTAATGCCCAACAGAAGACATACCACCATAACTTGGGATCAGGTGGCTACCCGACTGCCATTAAGAAGTGGAACAAAATGGAAGTAGACCTTCTTGCCAAGGGTATCACACCCGAATCACTCGAGTGGGGAGAGCGTGCAAAGAATTGGTTTTTCGCTCATGGGGGAACACTGGACCAGGAGACAGGGAAGTGCGTTTATGGCACAAGACTGCAAGAAGCAGCAGAAATATTATTTTATGCTCAGAGAGCTACTGCTAGTGGTGCGTTCAGGCCCAACAGAGAGAAGGATGAGCTGACATACGCCATCGGGACTATTGAACATGGTGGCCGAACTAGAGGCAAAGGAAGTGTCTCGTGGGAGCATGGATTCCCTCAGGACAGACCTTCCTACAGAAGCCGCTAGAGAAAGAAGGAAGAAGAGGCACAGCGGCTCCAAAGGTTGGAGGAAGCGGTGCGTGAAGCACAGGAGCGGGAAAAAAACCTTGAAGCGAGAATGCAGGAGGAAATCAGAAGGCAAGTGCAAATAGCAGTGAGTGCAAGCAAGCAGGCATCAGAGCCAGGAATCAACATTAGCCAATATGTTCAGTTGAAAAGCAGTTACGCTTCCACGGAGATACCAAATCAAGGGGACATAGGACCGCGCTTCCCTGTGGATGACGTCACTGAACCTTGTACAACGTGTGAGCTACACATTTCGAAGGGGAATTCCACAATCAAGGTGGCTATCGGTCTTGTTAATCCTATCGACCGAACTAAGACACCAAGGATTCATGGGAATATAATCCAAGAAGGATATGCTACCATCTCGGTAGATAAAGCTTTGAAAAGGTTTTAGTGATTTGCCTCTTGACATTCCTGAAGGTGATGGCGAGAAGACTCTAGGAGAAGCGGAGAAGACATTCATTCTATGGGCATAAGCGCTACATTATCATTCTAGGGATGTCGGCTCCACCTCCTCCTGAACTACCTCACCATAGGTACGTGCGGATGAAAACACTACATCATTAATTTGTATTGGCTTAAATAATTAACAATCTGCTCATAATAATATGTCATTCCTTTTTTATAGCAGATCCTCCCCCAACCTAAATCCAATTGTTCAATCGCCAGATCATCATAGTGCTCTGTACGATGACATTGTGTTGGAAGGCGAGGATGCATCCACACCATCTCCAAGGAGGTCTCCAACGCCCAGCCCGCCACCTCCAAGGAGGTCTCCAACGCCACGCCAACACCTCCAAGGAGGTCTCCAACGCCTCCCCGCCCCCGCCTACCAAGAAGCCTAGCAAGAGGCCGGTCCCTCAAGCGAAGAACCAGGTCCCTTTTGCAAAGAAAGTCACCGTGAAACCAAGGGCTATTCCCAAAATAATATCTGAAGAGAAGGAAGAAGGAACTGATGCATATAAAAAAGATATGTCTAGATTCTATGACAAACTTAAAAAGAATCAAGAAGCAAGGAGAAACCCGGAGAAACCGTACTTATTAGTAGCTCCAGATATTCTGAGAAAAAGGATGGCTTCTTACCAGCAACAACAGCGGGAATCTCGTAAGCCGTCCAAATCAACGTTATCGGACTATGACCGCACTCTCACCAAATCAATTGAGGCGGCACAAAAAAAAGCGGGCGGGGAAAGGAGTTGCCTTTCGGACAACAAGCGCACTAATCGGTCCCCGCTAGTTGTTGGTAATGAATATGGTTCAATTTAGGATTAATGCATCAGGCAAACATACCTCCGGATGTCGATTTGGATCACCTTGGTGAATTTATTGATGAGACTGGTCTCAACCTTTACCAGATGTTTGGTGATGGAAACATTGAGAGTGCGGCGGAGGTTGATATTTGGAAGAAAAAATCTGTACTAGGCCAGAGTCTATACAACCCTCAAGCCTTATCTGATCTGGGGACGCAAATGTACCTGCTAAACAAGTGGTACATGCAGGCGTCTACCGGTGGAGACTTCTGCGTTGGTGTCAGAATTAGAGACGAACATTGGTTTCGTGGCGATGATGTTATGTATGTTGACTTTGCAGAATTTCATCAACTATGCCACCTGACCTCTCTGGATAAAGTTATCATTAGCTGCTATTACCTGTAAGTAATAATTCTTTCGATCTATTATTAAACTCATCATATGTGTGTATATGCATATAAATTATCCTAACAAGTACTATATATATGTAGATTTACAATGACAGAGCTCAGAAAGGAAGGCTGCAATGAAATTGGTTTTGTTGATCCCCATATAATATTCAAAGACCCAATTACTCCAAAGACTAATTGGAAGTCTGAGTCAGAGAGTAACCTCATGAACTTCTTAGTGAACCAACGCCACAAGAAGGATATACTCTTTCCCTATAACTTCAAGTGAGTGTTAATAATATCGATCATCCTTAATGGCTCATATGTTGATTCTAGTTAATTAATGAGTGTTATGCGTTATATCCTATAAACACATGCAGCAATCACTGGATATTGATGGACATCGATCTGGTGAAAAGTCACTTGATAATCTATGACTCGATGAAAAAACCACAACAAGACTACCAAGATATGATAGATATTATCCAGAGGTAATTTCGGGATCTCTAGCAACTATATATACACACAAACATGATGATTAACTATATCTGATGACGTGGCAAATTTTTTATTGGGCAGTGTTTGGAAAACCTTTATTGAGAAGCAACACATGGAAAAATGCAAAGCGCCACTGAATGTAATCCCTTTGAAAGTAAGTCCTCTGAATCGCATCATCTTTATTAATTAAACATATAGCTTTCACCGGATCACCAGATTGGATGACAAATCTTTTCTTGTAAAGTGGTGTCTGAGGCAAGAATAGGGGAACAACTACTGTGGTTACTATGCTTGCAAGTTTATCAAGGTGATCTCCCAAAGAACTCCTACAGAGAGACTCAAAGTACGTTAAAAATACACTATATATTCATTTAATTATTATTATTGATTGTGTTACTATGTCTTTATATAAATATATGTACATATATTAATTTATTTTCCTTTAATTCAAACCTGTAGACTCGATGGTTGGAGGAAAAGGTCATACGGCAAGACCAAATCAAAGCAATTCAAGAGTCTATAGCCGAATTTTTTAATGAGCAGGTCATCGATTCCAAGGGCTAGTTCTACTTCGACCCAACACTGCCATGGAAGCCAAGCTAGAGGATGAGAGAAAACTTGTTATATCACAACAACTGTAATGCAATCTTTTTGTAATATATGCACATGAAATAATATAATGTAAAATACACATATGCATGCATGCATGTAAATATATATATGATGCATGCATGCATATATATATATATTTTTTCTATGCTTGAATTGTGTGATTTAATACGTTAATTGTGCTTGAACCGAAACATACTATACGCGCGTATAAATGTATAATTAGCAGCGTACAATACGACTTCGAAAACAAAAAAATGAAAAGAAAAGAAAAAAGAAAAAAACCTTTAGTCCCGATTCGTATTACCAACCGGGACTAAAGGTGCCGGCCATCGTGGCATGTCAGGAGGCACCTTTAGTCCTGGTTGGTGTTACCCACCGAGACTAAAGATCCTCCTTTAGTCCGGGTTCCTGACCCGAAACTAAAGGACCCCCTTTAGTCCCGGATGCTTGCTCCCGGATGGAGAACCGGGACTAGAGGAGGTTCTCCACCGGGAATAAAGCTCGGTTCTCTACCAGTGCTGCCGTAGGCGCTCATGGAGAGAAGCGGCGCTCAACCAAGCAGCGGACGCTTGGATGCGAACTCAGGCGCCTGGGCGCTCTGACAACATAAAAACTAGTTAAAATATGTTGGTCGTGTGTTGTAGCTCAAGGCTACTAAAGCAGGCTCTTGTGATTTTAAAGCGAGTCTGTCTATCCAACAATCATGTATTTCAATAAAAGGTAGCACATGATTGTTTGCTAGCTACAAAACATACAATTTGTAACAGAGGAAAAACCATTTGTTTTAGCAAAAGCTAGCACATGGTTGTTGGTTGCTTGCATAGCACATGATTTCCAAGAGAGAAGAAACCATGTGTTTTAGCACAAGGTACCACACGTTTTTAAAGAATGCCCACTTAGAGAAAATCTGTTATAATTTCTGTGCAACCAAAGTTGACCCATTAACTAAAATGACAAAATGGCTCATTTAACAGCAGCAGTCCATAAGAGAAGCCCAAAACCATCAATACATAGGAATATAACTAAAATTACAAATTGACCCATTTAACAGTAGCAGCCCATAACAAAAGCCTAAAACCATGAATACATAGGAATATAAAGACTTAGGAGAGAAGCCAACCAGAAACAGATCTGCATGGGGGAAGCCTCTGCTCTGCTCACGTAGGGCAGGAGAAAGGGGGAGACATCAGATTGCAAAGAAGAATAGGAAATTTCAAGAAGAAGAACTAGAAGACTGATCATACCTCATCAGCAAAGATTAGTATGCCAATCTTTTGAATCTACTTTATGAAAAAGCAACAAAAAAACAATAGCAACTCAGATCAAAGACTAGGAGAATGTAGATCCATAGAAAAGACATCACATCATTGTTGCGGTACCAAACTATCAAGCGCGTTCTTGTTTCCCCTCAAATAAATTGCCCAGCAGCAGCTCGAGTTGCTCGGGAGTGTGCTTCACGTATTTTCCAGGTGCTTTGCTATTCTCGATGAGAGGCCTACAAATGATCAGAAAATAATATGTTTAAGCACCACGAACATGAAGTAGAAGGAATACTGCATGTATCATTCAGAAAAAAATAGTTGATTCCTAGGCTCATAGGTTAACTTTCGACAAGTAACAAGGAGTCAGAGCAGCATACCCAAAACGTTTTATGAAAGATCGGTAGGCAGGCAACAGGATTTCAGCAACTGCGAGTCTTAGTGACTCGCGCAGCTCAGTGTCTGGAACAGACCAGCCACATTGCTTCTGGTAGATCTCTTCAAATAACACATTGAAAGACCTGAATCTGATAGCACCACAGGAAGAAACCAAAAACATGACAATACTTCAGAACTTGTACAAGAAAGCAATCCTCAAATAATTATAGTATCAGACTGACCTCTCCTTCACAGCCGCTCTTGAAGCTCCACTGCTATTGCCATCATCACTTGCTACCTGACCACTACCACCTGATGAAGTCAAACCTTGACCAGAGAGGCATTGCAACACCTGTAACATCAGACCAAATAAATATAAGGTTATCCACATGGATAGTATCTACATATACTAGTTTCATTTTTCAGGTGATATTATCACATTTCATGTACAAACAGACCAAGTGGTGCTGCAAGCAATGTTGACTTGTTGAGAATAATCCTATTCCTAAACATTGCCTACTCAGTCAGGAACAAGTATTAAAAAACAACGCTAACAGGAAAATATTATCACATTTTGCTTGTGCTTGCTACAACAGCAGGGCGTGGCCCTGGTTGCTCAGTGTGCACAAGAAGCAGGTCCAGCACTCGGGGGTTCAACCAATTATTTCGATCACACCCTAGTTCCTCAACCAATTATTTGCAGAGAGCATAGTGCAAAACTGAGAGCATGAGATCACACACACATGTAGCTAGCAGAAATCAAACACACACACACAAATCGAATTTTCTGGGCCAATTTTCTAAAAGTAATTCTGCAGCCACATCAACAAGCCACTCTAAATCATGTCCCTGTTCATCAGAGAACTACTAGCTAGCTAGCTCTAGTTGCATAAGAGATGGAAAATTGCAACTAAGGTACTGGTGCACACCTAAAAACCGAACAAGCAACTCCTTAGGAAAATCGAAGATGCAGAGCAGTAGCTTCTAGAACTTAGGGCCAAACTGAAAACAGCAGCCAAGCTGTTGTTGGGACTGAGACAAGTATAGCCACACCACTCAGCAATCCTCAACTAAAATTACAAATATATCTCTTATGTATTTGCTATATTACTATTGTAATTAAATTACAGAACAAAAATAAGAAATTGCACATTTGACATAGTGCAACTTGTACTTGCTGCTAATGCAATTATACTGTACTTGTATACAATTTAAAGATCTGGCTCATGCAACTTGTACACGCAAAGCAGGGCAAAGGGGTAGAGATCAGATCGAAGAGGAACCACAAACCTCAACAGCCAAGGTTAGTACACCGATCATTTGAATCCAATCTCCTTGTGTGTGTTAGATGCATGGAATATGTAATGATGAGAAACCTTCTAACTATCAAAACATGAAATCTAGATGTTATAACAGAACATGAATCTAAAAAGAAGAACAAGGCAGCAGGAAATGTCAGAGGCACAATATCAGATTCATAATTATGAGGAAATGATTCGCCAAGAAGAAAGCAACAATGATGTAAAATTACTCCTAATTCAAAATAGTTTACACAAACAATAAATAAATAAGAACTAATGGCTTCATCATTTTCTCGCAGGTTTCAATTGCTTCCCTTATGCAACTAATACAAGCACCAGTCGAGTTTGATCAACTACTTGAGGTAAGAAACACAATTCAATGATGCAATGAAAAGCTATGTAAGTACTCAGCTACTTGCTTTTTTTATGAAGTAGAATAATATGTATGTCACAACAAATAGATATGATGATTATCCAACATCAGTGAAGTCACAAGAAGCAATTAAGGAAGTGCAGTCAGCTCCTTACCAAATATTTGCAGGCACAAATTGTTCCAATGACCTTTCAAATACCTATAGATACAAACAGGTGAGCAAAATCATTGCTTAGAATAAAAAAATGCAAACATAAGAAGGTTGCTTTTCGACTAAAATATATTTCAATGTAGGGAGGCTACACTGAACTTATGATGGAACAGACCAGGAACTCTCAGGAAGATAATTAGACTGACTAGAATATGCAAGTAAAATTTATAATACCAGTACACAAAAATTACAATTCTGACATATTTAAATTACACACATATGTGCAATGTAATTTCAGCATAACAGTACTTTAATTTCAATGCTTCATTATAAACTGTGCAACAACATGAAGAGATGCAAGGATCATTAACAAAGATGATACTTAGAAATGACAGGAATGAGGTGAAACTATATTATATATGCTTGTCAAACTAGTTATGTTATATTATAAATGGTAACCATTCTCATTATCAAACAAATAAAATAGATATGAGACTTGAAGATCTGGATGAAATCTTTGGACCACAAACTAACTGGTCAATATCAGAGTCAAGGATATCATATGAGGTAGATACAGATAGCTGAGCCAATTTGATTATATTTATAAGCAATACAAATATGTACTTGCATCAAAGTAAAACTTATCTTTGCAAAGACAGGATGGAGAAATGGCAATCGTCGCTGATGATGATGGAGCAATGACAAGCATAACTGATGATGATAGATCTAAAATTCAATAATACCATTAGCAAACTGATGTATTCAATAACATGGACATTGATAAGATACATAAAAAATGATCTCTTCAACTATTTCAGTCCACACTGAAAAAAAAATTACAGGTGCAGCATGAAAATCAAGATGACCAACCTACAATAGAAGAAAATGACTTGAGGATCATAACAGTAGAACCAACAAGTTTAGATATTACATCAACAGTAACAGATGATAATGAACATGTAAATGGCAGCCAGGAACTGACGGAGGAAGAGATTGAATAATTCATAAAAAATGAGTAGGTTGCAGCATCTCAAGGCAACAATGCACCAATCAACAGCAAGTACACCCCACAGCTATCGATGGAATTTGAGAGTAGGGATGATGCTCACCATTTCAACTTCTATGCGTTCCTAGCCGGATTTCAAGTTGCCATAACACATACGACAAGAACTCAAAGTAAGAAGAGAAATAATGAGGTAGTCAAAGTGACAATGAGATGCACTCATCAAGAAAAAGAAAAGGAACCAAAGTGTTTAGAGCAAGAAGAAGCTAAAGTAGACAAGGATGTTGGAAAGAAACCGGTAAGGAGAAGGAAAACAAATATTCAGCAGAAGTCAGATTGTCCTTGTGTTATGATGGTGAAAGAAGGAGGTGTATGGAAAGTTAAAACTCTTGATTTGGAGCATAATCATGAGCTATGCCCTAGAGACAAGGATCAGCTATTTTCTGGTCACAAGTATATGATAGAAATAAAAAAGGACTTATCAAGACTTTGAACGATAACAATATCCTGACTGGGAAGATGGTTTCTATTCTATCGTATCTTAGAGGGGGGCTTACAGCTCTACCGATGAAAAAGAAAGATATCAGCAACTACAGGACAAGGCTGAACAGAGAAGTTAAAGGATCAGATATGACACAAGTACTGGATTATTTCAGAAAGAAACAAACTGAGGATCCGTCTTTCTTTTACAAGTTTGATTTTGATAAGGACAAGAGAGTGAGAAACTTGTTCTGGATAGACTGTTCTTCTATGAAATTGTAACAACCCGGGTTTTTGGAGAAGCCAAAAATACGAACTTTTTAAAATTTTTCCTGCAATGTGTGAAACATGTAATTGCTAGGTCAAACACGAGTCGAACTCGCTAACAAGACGTTGCATACATGTAGATGGTTTGTAGGTGATTGCCAGAGTTTTCGAGTTGTCCTGTGTTTGAGTCTTGATTATGGTTGGAGAGCACAACCCATAGCAACCTCCTTGTGATCCTCGCGGGATTATTTCGAGTCTTCCGTTAATCTCTCTTTATAATCCCGAACCCCACTAGAACCCGGACTTGCCATTTATATTTGTGCCGACCATTGGACCGGAGTCCCTAAACCCTAAGACCCCTAGTAGACCACCACGATGAGTAAGCATGTTGTTAATACATGTGGGTACGCACATATAAGACCAAGGAGTAGGAGAACAAAGGAAAAGACCCTCTCCTCTAGCCGCCAATGGAAATCATCTTGAGCCCCCCCTCTTGGAGCTCACATCTCAAGTACCATCAATACCCCTCTCTTGAAATTCCTATTCAAACTCCATGCAGATTCCCCCAAATTTCCCCCCAAATTTTCCCCTTTGAGTCTTTCCGAAAATCCCCATTCGAACACTCGAGGAAATTTCGTCTTGAGTTCATATGAATCTCTCCGAATGATTCCTCGAACACTGCTTTATATTTCACCTGGGAAATCCTTCTCAAGATGTGGTGAATTCTTCTCAAATCCAAATTCAAAACCATTTAAACATAAATTGGAAAATCTATTCTCTTCTCTCTTCTCTCCCCTCACGCCTTGGCCCGGCCCAGCACTCCGTCTCCTCCCCTTCTTTCTCTTTTCCTGCACCGGCCCAGCAGGCTGCAGGAGCCCAACCGAGCACCCCTCCCCTTAGCCCAACCGGCGCCAGCAGGCCCAGCTCGCCACTCCTCCCTTCGGCTCGCTCGCGCGCGCACGGCCAAGTGTCCCAGCTGCTTCCCCCCTTGCGGCCACCCTTCTCACCCCCTCCTCGCCCAGCCTGGCCCAGCCAGCAACGCGGCCCAGCTCGCGCGCGGCCGCGCCCACAGAAGAAGCCGGCGCTCCTCTCCAACCCTAGGAGCAAGACGCTCCCAGGCGCCGCCGCCGCTCGCACGCCAGCGCCCCCTGCTCTGCTCCTCGATTCGCGCCGCGTGTCCCTCCCCGGGCACAGACGCCGAGGATGACTGGAGCCCCCTAGGAACCCTAGCCGCGCGCACTATAAATACCCCCCGACGCCGTCCGCTCTAGAGCTCCTCCCAGCCGCCGCCGCCTTCGCTGCATCACCACGGCCTCGCCCCAAGCCTCACCACGCTGGAGGCGCACCACGGTAGCGCCGCCTCCCTGCTCCGCGCCACGACCAAGCCACCAGCGGGAGCCCGTCCCTACCTCGCCGGAGCCCCTGGCCATGGCGACGCCGACCGCGCTCTGCCTCCAGCCACCTCCGCGGCGCCCCTGTAGCACCGCCTCCACGACCGCGCTGCCGGCATCCCCACGGCGTCCGTCTTCCTCGAGCCGCGCCTCAACCGCGAGACCACCCCGATGTGCACGGCGACCTGCTCCGAGCCTCGCCACCAGCGCGCCGCCCGAGCCAGCACCGAGGAGCGGTGTCGCCCACACCGAGCCTCCTCGCCGCGTCCACGCCCAACGTCAAGCTGGAGTCCGCAGTGCCTCACCACGCCGACCTCGCCACGATGTCGCCCACCGCGCTGCCGGAGTGACCGCCTAGAGCCATCTTCGCCACGCTGCTCCGAATCACGCCACGTCAGAGCCGCACGGACGTCGTCGAGCACGCCGCCACCGCGAGCACCACCTCACCCCTACGTTGTCCTCTACGTCGTCCGTGGCCGCGTCTCCGCGGGCACGTCCGCGACAACCACCGTAGGCCAAGCCCCAACCCTGTCCCGGCCTTCGACGCCGGCTTCACCCTAGAGCTTCTCCGCTCCAGGACACACACGCGCACTCACATACATGTCCTAGCCAAGCCCACTGGACCACGGTGTTAGGAGGACACCGGATCTACCGCCACCTTGACCGCCCTTGTTGCCATGCCGAGCCACCACCGGGCGCTTTTGTGCGAGCTCGCCTCCGACGAGCATGCTACCGCAAGAGTAGCAAAGGAGGTAGGGAGAAGGAGCAGCAGCCGTCTGGACTTGTTCCACCATGAGCCAGGAGGGGAAAAGGAGGGTGGACACAGCCCACCATGGACCCAGTGTGCGGTCCATGGACCCACACCACCCAGACCACCATGAGCCGCTCCCACGCCCACAGCCTAGACCCGGAGCCCGATAGGAGCCCAGACCGAGCCACGTGGACGTCCTCCCCACGCGACACGTGTCCGGGCCGGCCTAGCCCAAAATCCAGCCCTGTCCAGGCCCGCCAAGGCCCAGTCGAGACCCAAACCGGTTGACCGTTGACCGGTCAACGTTGCCCGTTGACCGGGACCCACGTGTCAGCGACACAGAGCTGCTGAACCCACTTGTCAGTAGGTGCCATCATGCTGACGTCATAATGACGTCATGCGGGTTCCACCTGTCAGTGGCCCAAGATCCCCGGTCCCACCTGTCGGACTGATGACGTCGTGCTGACGTCATGATGACGTCAGCAAAACCCCACCTGTCAGCCACTGTTGTATCTGGACCAATCCTGCGCTGCCATGTGTCAAGCCCTGGAGTAACCTTCCTTTTTCTTCTTTTTAAGAAAAGGAGTTAACCTTTGGAAATTCATAGAAAATTCTTACGACCTCAGAAAAATGAGAAACCAGTTCCCACATTTTTCTAAAATCAAGCCCTATGATGTGGACCAACCCTTAAGTACTTATGACCCCTCAAAATTGAAGAACCCACTCTTTGCTTGCGCTCACACCGTTCGCGCAAGACATGTATGATGCCCCGAAATGCCACCATATGGTTCCAAGCACCCCTCGGCCATGATCTATGACCAAGCCATTGACTCGACGCTCTTAGCCATGCTGCGGCGAAGAGTTACCATGACCTCATCGTGAGCCCCAAAGCCATAATTGGACCACGTGGCATTGATCGCCGCATCATGGACTACAGTTTTCCTTTCTTTGGTTGCCCTGACGGTTCCGTGGAACCCTGTGTCCGTGTTTCACCACTGTTCTGGCTGCCTCGAGTTATGAGAACATGCCGTCGAGATCTACCGAGGCCACCGTTGCCGAGACCACCGTTGCCGAGACCGCTATTGCCGAGACCACCGTTGCCGAGACCACTGTTGCCGAGACCACCGTTGTCGAGACCACCGTTGCCGAGACCACCGTTGCCGAGACTACATGGCCTCGCTGGTCGAGACCACCATGGCCTCGCTTGCCGAGACCGCCATGACCCCATCTACCGCAAGCCGTACCCTCTGGGCCATGAACCCTAGTCGTATGTCTTACCGAGACCATGGAAAGCCCCATCTCGCATCTTTCCGTATACGCATATCTATCTTGTTGGGCCCTATTCTTATGACCTGTCTGTCCATGACTGTCTTACAGGATCTATCCATCACCCAGCTATGGATTGTGCTACTCCGCAGTCGTGTCGAGTTGTTGCGTCTTTCGGTCGTGTTTGGTTCTTATCACTGCTTGTTGGTGTTGTTGCCTGTGTGCCGAGCCTTCAAGCCGGCTGAGGGATCGTACCTCGTTCGGACGTTACGATCGCAGGATCCGTCTCGCCATGACCGTAATGCCGAGTGTAACTCGACCCCTCGCTTTTTAGTTGACTTCATAGTACCACGAGTGTTAGCTCCTACCTTCGGCCCTAGAACATGGTCGTGACGGATTCGATATCGATGGCGATATTGATGCGGATATTACCCGCACATTTTGAGCCCCTCATGACCAAGTTCTATGGGAGATAACCTGGGAGTAAACAATCGTGGAATGATGGATGCCAACTCGTTGGCATAGCTTGTGGCCGCGAGTTCACCTCGCCATGACCATGGAGCTACGCCTCTCTTCCGCTTTTAGTTGCTTCTTCGTACTCAAGCCCTTGTATGCTTGTACCCCATTTGACCATCACATTTCTCTAATTCTCACGGTGACAACCGCACCGCTTTGAATCCGAGAGATATCTCAGTGCCAGAGCACCTAGGTTGGGTACCCTATGAGTGGCTTACGCACTTGGTGTTCTTGAGTGTCGCTCCTTCCTATGCCTCGTCTTTGTCGTGGCGTGTGCGTTAGAAGTAGACCTCGCTCTTGGTTGTTCTTGCTCTTATTGCCCCGATAGCCGCTCTGTTCGATCCCGTCTTGCTCGTGACGATTGGAACAAAGACCGGACTATTCCCTTTTGTTAGCGAAGCTATGGTCTATGTCGTACCTCGGACCCATGCGTGTTGACCCGATCGACCGTCTAAAACCATCTTTCCCGAAGATGTGACTGGGAACATAACATGGACATGCCTAGCTAACCTCGCTGCTTTTGCCGTGTTGAACGACTACCTCCTCGGCTCCCGACGTTGATGTGTCGGGTGGATCGAGAGGACCCGTCGCTGTCCAACCTCTTTGCGCTACCGCTTCCTACCATAGCGGGTGAGCCAAAGTACATTGGAGCCAAGTTACAATAGTGTTATTCGTTCTTGTTTGCTACCCGTGTCCAATTGTGGCTTGCGGGATAAGGCTATAAGAGCCGAACCCCATCGATCTTCTTTCTTGGGGCCCGATTTCCAATCCCCGTCAACCCAATGACACCGGATTGAAAGATCGTGAGCCGTGGTGTTTGCTCTGGATAAGCTCTGGCTTAAACCGTTTATCGTAAAAGCCATACTGGCTTGGCCATGACTTAAGCTTGTGCTTAGCAAACCACCACTTGTGATTCTTTGGCCCGAGGAAATCGGACAACCACCGAGAGGGCTAAACTGTGTATCTCTTATTGTCTCGATGGCGTTATTGGATTTCCTGTGACTCGTCGTCTTTTCAAGTGTTGAGTGCTCGCTTGCCTTGCGTGTCGCTTCGCGGAGTAGCTGACGATCGGACCAAGAGAACGTGGACGATAACAAGGACTGTGGAATGGAGTCAACACAGGAGGAGGAGACCCCGCTAATGGAACACCAACGAATGGAGAATTGTACCACTACTACCTCTACATCGCAGGTGTCATGGCAGCACCCTCTTTTAGAGAATCCTATTAGACATTGCATAATATCTAGAACTGCTAGCGCTTTATAATTATTCCTTTGCTAGAACTTTGATGCATGCTACTACCTGAGCCATTATTACCCTGATGCAACCCACTCTACCACATCACCCTGCTTTGCGCATTCGCTTATATATGCTTACTTGCCTGCTTGCTTGCATATTACACCACTATACTTATTATTAACTCCACTTCGCATTATGTCGGGGATGTGATGCTAGTGGTGAACCCCCTAGGAATGGTTTGGCTAGGGGTGCCGGACTTGGTGGTGTGTGAGCGTGCTGTGTGTGTCTTGGGTGCGTGGAGAGTGAGGGTTGTGTCGACCGAGCTGGAATAACGACGAGCCTGGGGCGAGTCTTGCCATGTGGTGCTACCTGGGCACTTGGATATGGAATACATGTGGCGGGTAAATGGTAATTGGAGGTGGCCTTGGGTGTGAACCTCAGAGAGGTGGAGCCCGGGGTGGAGGTGCTGTGGTGGCACGGTAAATGGAAACCCTGATGAAGACATTCTAGCTTGGTCACCCCTAAGGACTTACTAGTACTCAGATTCACCGGGAATCCTTTACATCCCACTCGCCCTATATGGTGCGGGACGGTCAGACTACTTGGTAGAGCGATGCCACTACTGCTAGGCGAACGTGTGTAAGGAGGTACGGGGTGCGCGGTTTCCCCCCACACCCTTCCGAGACTTCAGGAGGCCTTGTGGACCGGCTCTTGACATCCGGTGGGCCCCGGCTCTATCTATGACTCACAGTATCAGCCATCCTAGATTAGACTTGGGATGTTCCAGGGCTGAGAGGTAGGGTGGCATCGTTCTAGGCTAGCAAGCGGCCGGAATCTGCCTAGACGGGGCACCATCGAGGATGGCTATCTTGTGGGTATGTAAAACCTCTACAGAGTGATTGGTTGATCGATCGATACATATGCCGACTTGTCGGCTATGGACCTTTCCTGGGTTTCGCTTAAACTAGATAGGAGATGAGTACTTCTATTCTCCCTCCAGGGTTTGGGGTATTTTCCGGTCGTGAGCCTTAGGGGCTGCGGGCCATTGAGACAAGGCCGAGAGGGAGTTGGCCTATCGACCTGAGTGTGTGAGATGAGATTAGGTGTGTGGTGTGGAGATGGTTTGGAATGGATGGTTGGAGGATGGATGTGGATGTGTGTGGCTGGGAATGTGTTAAAAACTGGACATTATTATTACATTACCACTGTTACTTACTTCTCATGCGCTAAGGATGCAAACCATAGCCAATTGTTAGGATCGCCAGAT